CTACCCAGTCTCTCATAGCCAAGCCAAAAGTATCTAGTCGAATTCTGGAGAGGAAGCACGCCTCGGTCGCTTTCGCGCAGTCAAGAGCCTCTCGGCCACGCGCCAAGCAAACCACCATCTCCGCCTTCTTCAGCGCTCAGACAGGTAATGTGGAACAGCGTATGCCCCTGTAGGAAAGCAGTTTCAGGCCATAATAGGAAACCCATCCCGCTTTATTTCTTGGCAGCTTTACTAGGCAGAAAAGTGCATTTTCTAGTGAAGAGGGTAAAAGTTAAAGGTTTGAACTCCCAGAAAGGATTTTATTGTGATAGTTAATCTAAATGCAGGCACCTTTTATAGTGTTAGACTAAAAGCAGAAGTAACAGCAATCATAGCCAGTCTTCACTGGAGAGCAACCCGAATTCTAAATAATGCACCCGGCTTTACTCCCTACAGAACTGGAGTTTTCAGTGGAACCTCGGCAAGCCTGGCTCAGCCCAAGCGCTGATACAAACCATCCGGGTGGCAAAACATCCAGGTCTGGGTTGCCCGATGGTATCGCGTAAAGGGCAATCCAGTCGGGAACGCCACTTGGGCTGGGGCCCAAGCCCAGCGGTGTCCTGTGGGCAGCTCTCCCTGCCCGGAGAAGGGGCCGCCTCCAGGGTGTTGCCTGCCACGTTTGTTCAAAACGATAGCAGCCCTAAATTGTCAGCTAAATGCCCTTAGAAGAACATTATGGCTGGAAGTGAAAATGAATGTTACTCAGTTCAGCCAACCTCCCTGTAAGGGGAATCGGCGGGAGGCAACGAGGAAAGCCTTTTATGAAGGGTTGGACGAAGCCTTTTCTAAAGAATGCAATGTTTAATCCTAACTGAACCAGAGAAGGAATCACAAGGGATCTGGAATATTTAAGCTAATTAAGCCAGCTCACAACTTCTGTGCTTTTGAGGCTGCTTTTGTGCTCTGCAATACAAGAAACTGGGATTTATCCGTGGGTCTCAAATTAGCAAATATGGAGAGAAATGAAATGGATGCAGAAACCAGCGGTGTAGGATTGTGTAGTTGTTTGTATATTGTAAGTTGTCTAATGGCTAGTTCATCAACATTAAACTAGTTTAGCAATAAGCAGATGAGAGGAAGCATTACATAAATTACACAATTTAATTATTTGAGAGAATTTTTGTGTTGTGACAGGGCCATTGATGGTTTTTGCTTTGGATTTGTTAGTCCTACTCCTTTTGAATGTGTTGTGTGCTTTCCTCTTTTTTTTTTTTTTTTTTTGTTTGATTCCCTCAATTGATTGCATTCACTCACTGTGTTTGGATTCATGGAAAGCTGCTGCTGTTCATCCAGAGGTCTGTAGGATTTAAGATGCTGGAGTATTTCTTATTTGTGTTTTTTTTTCTTTTAGCCTATCCTAAATTGAGGATGAGCTCTCTTATATTGAGAAGTTATATTAGATTTTATATTAAATGGTTTTAGAAGCAAATGTGGGACTTGATGCCTTCATCAGGCAATGAAGGCAAGCTGTAGAAGTTTCACTGTGCGGTTTTGTGGTGGGTTTTTGTTTTGGTTTGGTTTGGTTTTTTGGTAACTCTTGAGCTGCTGCTTTTAAAGGGAACGTCATAGGTGAACTGCCTGGAAAGGTGAGAGGAGGAAGGCAGAGAAGCCAAAGAGTGGAGCAGCTGGAGATGCAGCTCTTGCATCTCACTTGAGGGAAGCTTACTTTTTTGAACTACTCCGATGTTTTAGGCTGCCATTCCATCGCAGCCTCAGCAGCACAAACACGGATTTTTACGAGGCGGCGACAGTGCTGGTCTGGTGTAGAACAGTCTGTGTGTCGCTACTCGAAGGAGCAGTAAAGCGGCAGTTCTGAGTCAGCCACCAAGGAATGGTGCTGTGGGTGGTGACTAACCCTGAGAAATATGTGTGCCAGCTCTGGCTTTATCCAATTCCCTGTTGTTTTCAGGTGAGAAAGACAAAGAAAACTCCAGGCCATCTCCTTTCAGCCCGAATAAAGACTGTGAAGAAAAAGGTATTTCTTTGGCTGCTTCCCCTGTGAAGATCTTGGCTTTGCCGCAGATGGAGGCAGCCCAGAAACAGTCCTTCAGAGCCGAGGAGGAGACGGTGCAGGTTACACCCCAGCGTCGTGCACAGAAAGCACCGCCCTTGCCGACTCCTTTGCCAGACTCCTTGTTGCCACCAGCGGAGTCCCACAGCAGGAGTGAAGCCTCCTGTGGGGCGGGAGAGGATTGCTGCATCTTCAGCTTCACCCAGGATTCAGAGGGCAACCGGATCATCGCTCACAGAAATGAGTCTGATGTATTTGCTGGAGAAACGGTTTCAGCAAGCGGCAGCGTAAGGTCAGACTGCGGGAGAAACGAACAAGAGGGCCAGCCGCTCCCAGGGGAGGTGAAGACCGGACTTGATTTCCAACCAAAACTTGGTGCAAACCAGAATAAGAAACCATACCAATCGAGTAGTGATAATTCTTTAATTGATTTCTCTGAGACTGAGAATATAAATCCTACTATAACAAGAGACAGTACCTGGGCTGCTGGCTTTTATTCATCGCCACAACGACCAGCTGGAGCACGGCCTCTGAGAGAGCGCAGCCAGAACGCTGCTGCTGGTGCAGCCGAGGAGGGATGGGGCAGTAAGACAGGACTGAGCAGTCCCTGCCGGCAGCTGTTCACCCAGGATTCGGAGGGGAACAGAGTAATCGCTCACCGCTGCCAGAACATCCTGTCTCCTCGCAAGGACAGCGGCAGCTCCCGCAGGCAGCTGCCTAACTCTCCATACAAGGGCTGTTCCAGCCACGCTGCAAACCGGAGCTTGAGCAAAACGGGGGAGCAGTGGTTAGATGTGTGCTACGATTTACTGTTCACGCAGGATTCGGAAGGAAACAGAGTGATGAAACACTGATAAGTGACCTTGAATGGGTCGCTTCATGACCTCTTGTGAAGCCTCGGGAAAGCATTTTTTAGTAAGAAAGCAGTCAGAATTAGGTAAGTGTACCCATTGTTTCTATATATATGGTCTAGCCGGCATGTGCAGTGGACCCATGCAACAGGCAGGACCTCTTGTTCTCTGAAATTTTGCTTTAATAAAAATAAAATTTTGAAGGAGTATGTTTATGATGGTTTGATTGTTTCAATCGTGATTACAGCCTGTGTGGCTAAGGCCTGGCTTTAGTCCTGCCTGGTGTTTATGTAGCATGCTGCTGTTCAGCCCGAAAGCCCACTGCTAACATGTCTGTATTTCTTAGGATCCTGGAAGTCCAAATTTAAAGCTCAGGAACCACACCATCTACTTCACGTTAGCTGCCTCGAGGCAGTACTAGGTTCAGCTACATTCTGCTTATTTCAGGACCGTGGCTGTGCCAGCCCCTGTACCCGACAGCTGGTGTGTGTGTGGCAGCAAGGGGACGGTCATGTTTTTCAGCTTGTGCATCCGTAACTGTGAAAGATGCACCTCTGCTAGCTGCCGGTGAGATCACAGCACTTAACTGCTGTTGCCAGACTTACCGGAGGTTTAAAGCGAGGAAGACTAGGACGAAGAGGAGGAATTGTACCAGTGCATCTGTTCTGGGTGAGTCTGAACTGTAATCCTAACGTTGGACTCGTAGCTCTCGCGCAGGCGGGGATGCACCTAGGCGGAGCGGGGTGTGCCTGCGAGGGCTCACAGCCCCAGGCTGGTGCCTCAGTCTGGCCCTGCTGAGGTGAAAAGCGGAGCCGTGAGCACTCCGGGCTGGAGTAAGACCTGGTCAGCATCGGTTTAACTGCGTGTGGCAGCTGCCACGTCTCACTAACAGCAGTGGTACTTCCTATGCGCTGTGTGTATGGCTTGTCCGACACAATCCCTGCCCTCCGTATGGGCGTGCTTTAGATTTTATCTGTTTTGAAGTGCAGGGACCAGCTGCTCCAAAACCCCAGGGGTCACGAGCAGCAGACAGCAGAGTCCATCCGTGGCCATGATCACGCTCGAGAACAGCCTGCTTTGTCAGCAGCCACTACCCAGTTTTTTACTTTTTTTGATGTTGAGTACGTCTTTAACACTGTAAGTGTGGCCATTTAAGCTACCTTTACTTTCCCATTGGGCCAGAATTTCAGTACAATAGCCCAAACTGGAGTTATGTCATAGTCCAGAAGTTAATTGCGTGGATATACTCTTACATCCAGCCTGCACATGGCGCACGTGGCCAGGAACAGGGACTCTTCGTTACAGCTCCATCTTCTCTGAAGGCAGGTGTATTCCCACCAAATTGTTATGCAGAGGAGCCTTATTGGGACAGAGGGAGAATGACCGTACCCTCCCTGGCTCTGGCTGTGCCGCTGAGAGGGGAAGAGCTGTAGCAACTCCCTATAAAACTAAGTCCTATATAACTGATAAGTCCTAAATGCTATTAATCTCTGGGTGGCCCGAGGCAATACAAGCCTTTTCTCTCACTTTTAAGGTGGGGATGATGGTTTAATTTTTTAAGGGCTGAGGGCCTGATGGATTAAGAAAATCCTCGGCATCTGACTACATTCATCTGCAGCACCACCAGCCAACACTTCAGCTGCAGCAGCTGAAATTCCACCCCCCCCCCAAGATACAAGCACCACTGCTGACATGTTTGGACATCTGCGCATTAATAACATCAAGGACAACCATTGTCTTATTAAGGCTCCATTTTATATAAAGGAAAAAATCATACTTTAAATACAGCCATGAGGAACATTGCGGAGAATGTGTAGCTGAAGGAAACCTCTTCAGTTAGTGAGAACGGTAGCCACAGACAATGCCAAGTTCATTCTTCCCTTTTCTCAGATGACAGCTCTTGTGGTGGGTGCTCAGTTCTTAGCCTTGGTGGTTCATAAATAGACCTTTTGAATGCTAAATAAAGTACATTATCTGAATACAAGGACTGTTAATGAAACATTAAATTACCGGCAAGAAATTAAGGCCATTCTGTCATGCAACTGTGGGGATAATTTGTGAGTTAAGAAATACCCAGGGCAGACGTGACTGAGTGGTTTGATCACTGACTGCAGTTTCATCCTGCCATCAGGTCAGAGTTACCAGGAAGACGCCTTTTACCACTGTGATTTAACAACCTCCTGAACACCTGGAAGTGTTAATTACCTTATTCTCAGTAGCTCTGTACCATACTCGGAACAGAGAAAGAACTGGATGTTTGACATCCGTTTATACTGTAAATGGTAACTAGTTCTATTGTAACAAGGCCGTTGTAAGTTAATGCTTAATTTGAACCTAAGGAAATTGTAGGTAGAAAGAACGTCATCCAGCAGCACTCACTGCGCTCTTCAGATCCTTATCAATAATCAACATCCAAATACAGGTGGAAAAGAATTTCCATCTTCTTGAAAAGTTTTATCTTAAATATAACAATACATGGAAAACACATCAAATCCGTAGGGTCTTTCCTAAGTAAGTGTCCAGTGCAGAAACCATTTCTAATTAATAAAAGAGGCAAAAGGCTCAATCCTTAGGAAGGCAGCTACTGTGGAGAAAATTTTGGGAGCATAACACTTTTGCTTACAGAGTTTAACGACAGTAACATCATTTCTCCTTCAGGGCCAGATCTTCATCCTTTAGGGCAAATTTTCTTCTCAGGACTTCTGCTATAAGAACGGCCGGGTCTTCCTCCTTCATTGAAGTTCGGGTTCTACATGGAAGACAAAAGCACAGTGTATTAGTAAAGAGAAGTTCCAAAATCCATGGTTTACAGCTCTGGTTAAGAGTCTTTAAAGTATTTTTCTGCAGCCTTTATCATCAGCTTTTGTCGCAAGTGGGGGAGGTGGAAGGACACCACCACAAACCAACAAAAAGTAGCTAAAAATTCAGACGTTTCATGTTGGCTTAGAAAACCTGGAGCTCATTTTGTGGCTCAAGGGGTATCCTGAAAATCTCAGCATCAAAGCTCTTTATAATTTTTATTTAACTGTGTTAATAACTAGTAAGTAAAATAAAACCTCATTAATTATTTACAGCCTACGTCCCCTCAATATAGATCTACAAGTGGTTGTTTGAGTTGAAGTCCTGCAACTATTTTTTTCGTGAATTTTGCTATACAATGGATATATGCTTTCATATTTAAATACGGGTAGTTACAGGTATTTTAAAGGAGAGCTGGCATACATTTCCCTCCACTTAACTACTGCACATGAGTTTTTTCTGTGGCATTCTGTTATCAAAGCATCAGCAAGTTCAGACAAGCAGTTCACGTTAGAAGTGTTAGTGAGTATTTTTTACAGAAAGCCAAACCCCAGTTCTTTTTCTTCCAGTATGACGCATTACTCACTAAGGTTTTGTTTAGAACCTGCAATAATAATTTCAGAGCTTAACTTTTTTTTTTTTAATAGCTGAAGTCCTCCCTTGGTCAGAAAACATTATGGGTGTTTTAAACATTCCTAAAAGAAAAAAACTCCCCAAAGTATTTCCATATGTGTCTGGGAGGGGCTTGTTCTCAAATTAACAGTGAAGGCTTTTAGTAAGCTGTATAAGATGCCATTGAGCTGCTCATGGGTAACCCTTAGCGCTGCGTCAGATATCTCTGATGCAAGTTCTTAATTTACAGTTGCATAAATGCATCGCTATTTAAAAGATGATTTTGTCGCCAGAAGCATGCCTTTGATTTCATCCAGACTGAACTGTTCCTTCTGAAAAGGGTGCAGAGAAAGATCAGAGCACAGGGTCTGGAGCCCTCCCCAAACCCTTCCTTCCACACGGGCAAACCTGAGAATTCAGAGTTACCCAAGTATCCGTCAGCTGCCTCAGAAGAGGAAGGGGAAACCGAAGCACCGGAGGAGGTGGTGACACCAACAGCAGTGAGGAGACAGCACTGACACAGCCTCGAGCTGTGCCGATCACAAGGAAAAGCTCTCCCAGGATGAATGAAGAGACAGACAACCCACACCGGCGTGAGAAAAGGAACATCTCCTACCAACGGGTACACCGTCCTACAGCGAGGCACAACCAGCAGCAGACGGCGGAGCACCAGCATTCAACTTCAATGTCTCAGCCCTTTATAGCCACTCGAAGGGCCAAGCAAATAATCATGGAAAAAGTAAGTTGTTCAGTCCCACAACAGTAGTACTTACACGTGGAAGTGTACTCACAGTCCCAGCAGCTCCTCATGCTACCTGTCTTTAACCCCACACTGACCGCATGGCTCAGCAGGCACACCACTCAGCCACTCCCCTCGCAGAGGGCATCACAGACACTTTAACAGGCTCTATTTCACATTTGTTGAAACATGCACATTTCTGCAAGCGTTTCTCACTCATTCCTGAAGCTTCCAAGGTTGTGTTTAAGCACCAAGTCCTAAATAGGAGCATCAGAGAAGCATCTATGTAGTTATCTCATTAAGCATCATTTGGTACCTTCATCCACTTAAAGAGTACATGATCCTTTTAAGTGTTACAAGCGCTGCATACCTACACTAGCACACCTGCTCTGGGTAACTTAACAGCACGTCCGCAAGGTGAGCACAGCGGTAGAAGCATGGGGCTGCTCACACAACGTGAGCATCGACACTAGAGGATTGTGTCTAGGAATTAGTGCTCATCAAGTAATGAACATCAGTGAGGTATTGAATCTAATTTTTCAACTATCTGTGATTCTTTCAACAGCTTTAATTAAGCTGTAATAACCGTATCCTAAAACGTCACTGTTGCATGTAGGAGGCAAGTCAGAAGCTGAGATAGAGAAACAGATGAGAGGAAAACGGTTCAGCTCCAGCAAGAAACAGTCTCAAGCTTTTCTGTTAAAGTGTTCCTAGCCTTGACGCAAGCAGCAGCAGCAGCAGCGTGACCCAGCTCCCGGCTAATCAGTCAAGCCGTTGCAAGGGGAGAAAGGGGTCCCGGTGATTCAGTTCCTCTGCCCACTGTACCCCAGCAAGGAGGGATTTGGCAGCTATC